TAACAGTCAAGTGCCTTAGGCACTATGCTACCAGAGCTTTTATATATATATATATATACATATATATATATATAAAATTTATTCACATAACAGCAACAAGGACAAAAAAAAATATCTAGGAAATAATGGACAGGTTCTTAGGTTCTTTAGGTAGAAATATAAACTCTTTTAAAGGCTTATAAGAAAAGAAGAATTACATAAGTGGAGACCTATCCCATGTTCTCCGATGCGACAATTGTTGGGAAAGTTGCCCTCTCTGCCCCTCCTTTAAGCTGCCCAAATAAGGTCTTGGGCCTGGCACATCTTCTTACTGGAAGATAGCACAATCTGTATTGATTGTTCTGCTTTGATGATATCTCCCTGGTACAGACTCGATACGTACTTCTTGGTTCTGTTTATTTGTGTGTATCTCATGGCCCCTGGCCATCCTTACCTCTCTATCTCCTTCTGTTAGGGGGAACAGGATCTTTCTTCTGCAGATGGGGATGCATGCAGCCCAACATCCAGTGTCAGCTGTGGGTAGTCACCCACTGGCCATGAGGGACCAATGCCCACTATAGATACTGATATCACTCTGCTTATCTTTCCTATGAGAAAACACTGCTCTACTCAGTGCATGTGTAACTCATGTCTTTCTTGATGAGTTCAACACCTGAAAACAACAGCAAGGATTGACACTAGGCTGCTCCTTGTGGCATGTTCTTTGCCATCTTCCACATGTTGGGACTTTTCTGAAAGTGGTAAGAGAAGTTACTCTTACCACAATTTATTATAATGAAGTTTATCAATCCTTTCCAAATTAATCTGTAATTTCAATGCAATCTCAATTAAAATACTCTAAAAAACTCACAGCCATCAAGTCGGATCTGACTCGTAGTGACCCCTCCTTTGGTTTCCAAGGTGGTATCACTATGGAAGTAGATTGCCCAACCTTTCTTCCAGATTGGCTGGTGGGTTTGAACCACTAGCCTTCTGGTTAGCAGTCAAATGCCTTGGGCACTATGCCACCATATCTTGAATTTTTTTTTGAGGAATTAGAAAAATTACCTTGATACAAAAATTAAGTTGATATTTTTCAAAATTTATTAATGATTTAGGATTTGAGGAAAAATGACTCTTGCAAGAACTCTTGGGATATTGGTGTACAGAGGGCCAGCATCACTGAATACTCATCTAACTCCCAGGCAATTGGGTAGAGGGGAATATGGCTTCAGCTGAGTGCAGGATCAAAGTGACAGGGCAGAGAGTAGGAGAGTAGTAGAAAAGAACAGGATGAGTAAAGTGGATAAAGTCTGGCTAGACCACAGCGACTTCAGGGAATCAGAACCAAAGCATCAGAGTTGGGGTTCCTGGGAACAGAACCTGGTATAGTAGGTGCTCAGTACACATTTGTTGAATGAATGCATCAATAGAAGAATGAATAAAAGTTCCTGTTTATTGGTCTTAACCTTGACATACACTTAACTATGTTTCCCTTAGGAGCTCTGGTAGCGTAGTGCCTAAGGCACTTGACTACTAACCAGAAGGCTGGCGGTTCAAACCCACCAGTCACTTTTCGGAAGGAAGGTTGGGCAATCAACTTCCATAGTGATACCGCCTTGAAACCCAAGGAGCAGTCGCTATGAGTTGGGTCCGACTCGATGACACATAACAACAACAATAACATGTTTCCCTTGGGAAACAGATGAACTAAAACATCATTGTTATGAATAATTATTTTCAAGATATATGTGCAACCTTCTTAAAAAGATAAATTTCACATAATTACACAAACAAAACAACTAATGCTTGTAAAATTCTTATGAGATATCTCTGCTCAAAAATTATGCTTGCCTGCTATTTAATATCACTGCTAAAGAAGAGAGACCTGCCAATTGATCCTGCTTCAACAGGGTTGTGATTGGGTGTCACACTGCCAATCATTCTGCCTCAGGAGCAGTAATAATAATAATACCAATAAAAGAGAGTTAAACATGTATGTGTTGCTTGGAGAGACATAAAAGGAAAAAATCTCCAGAAAAATCAGTGTAGTGATGTCTTAAGATTGGGTAATCCTGAATTCAGTAGAGTGAAAAAGCAGCAGAATACCTTTTTCATTGGTCTTTATCTTGGTGTTCCAAAATTTCCCCTCATTGCTTACCTTAAGAAACTAAAAATTAGGTCTAGCTTCTGATCTGGCAAGCATCCAGTACTACAGGGATATTGGGTCTGAAGGGTAGATAGGAGGCAGGAAGTAGGTATTCAAGGCAGTAGGAGGGATATCAGAACAAAGTAGGTAAAAAGAAGGGAGGGAGGGGAAGTAGCCTCATTCCACACTCCAACAACTGAAGGGACATTTCATTATCACAGATTGTTGGAGATGTGGTCTGCTTTAGAATCACCTCAAGTGCGTCTTAAAAGTGCCTACTGCCAAATTTTCCCCAAAACAGCTAAATCAAATTCTTTGGGTGTGGGAATCTGCATTTTCATAAACGCTTCCACTGCTTTTATGTCCAGTAAAAATGGCAAATTATTCTATTAAAGACAGACTTAAAAATTCAGCTCATTTATATATTTGCCACTGATCCCAAGAAGAAAACTCTTATAATAGGAAAATGCAAGAATCACTATTTACTCAGTACTTATTAAATGCTGGGTTCTTTGACTTCAAAATCAGAGCCCCTTGACCTGTGATTTTTAGAGTTGTACAAAAAGCACATCAGAATCACACAGAGGGCTTGTTAAAACAAGCCATATCTACATTCATGGATGCCAACTGCAGACACCAAGTGAATGATGTGACAGCTAGTATTGAGTCTGAAGTTGGTCCAAATGTTATGAGTTTAAAGGCACACACACAACCCCAATCACTACAGAGTAGATTCAAAGCACAAGACACTTGAACTCACCTATCAGAGGAACATTTTCTGAGGCTGGCATGATCTCTGCCACCATTAGCTGAAATACAGTCATGGCCAAGAGAATTGTCACTCCCAGAGATACCTTTTCCCCAGAGGCAGCTGGGAGGTAAAAACTCAAGGGGGCCAGAAAAGATATAAGGACACATGGAATGAGGAGGTTGACGATATAGAATGAGGATCTCCTCTTCAGAAGAAGAGTGAATGTCACATCCGGGTAAGGTTCAGAGCAGCAGCCATAGGAGATCACATTCTTTACAGCGGGCATGCCGTGGACCTCCCACTCCACATCCTCGATGAAGTCTGAGAGGTCTCCACTGTCCAGGGCGTTGAAGATGTCCACCTGATTGCCATTGTAGGTCCAGGAGCCAAAGGTCAGATTGCACTGCTGCTTATCAAAGGGGAAGTAGGTGACATCCACCACACAGGAGCTCTTGGTGATGGCTGGTGAATCCCAAGTGATCAGCCCATCGTACCGCAGGACCACATTGGTGTTCACCGGCTCTGAGGACTCATCATCTGCCCTAGAGGTCAGAGAGAAAAATGGAAGCTGCTTTCTAAAACTCATCATCTTCCTTACCCCCAACAGCTCACTGCCCCATGCCTGTCACTTGAGTGTCTCTACCAATTTTCCCTACCACTCCAACTTGAACACTTAGAATTAACTTTAATTCACCTTTCTCTATCTCCTGCAATCAGCCGGTGCCCAAGTTTTCTTAGATTCTTTGAAGCATCTCTGCTCTATGTCCTTTCCTCTCCATTCTCAATGTCATTCCCTTGGTCCAGTTATACACAAACACCGAGACAATAAAATAATTTTGTTGAGGCTAAAATGACAGGAAGGCTCTGCTTATGTGATTTTGTTAACTTTGGGAATGAGAATGTTAAAATAGGTTTTTATTGCTGTTGTAAGCATTGAATGTATTCGTTGTAGAACATTTGGACAACACAGAGAAAAAAAAAATCAATCACTTATAGACATACGTTCTTTTTTACTTTATCAACATTGTGCCTGTCATTTTTGGTTATAGAATTTCAGTCTTCCTTTAGAGAATTATTCTCTCTCCATCATTGCAAGGTGGCAGAACCATTGATCAAACGTTCCCCAGCCTCCCCAGGCCTGGGGCTGGTTATGTGATCCAAGCTAGGCCCAACTAATTCTCTCTCCCTGGAGTTCAGATTCAAAGTGACCCAAAGACCAAAAACAGTTGGAACAGAGTCATCTTTTTTTTTTTTTTTTAATTTTTCTATTATCTTATTTATTTATTTAATAATGTTGTTATGTGCCGTCAAGTTGGACCCGACTCATAGCGACCCCTCCTTGGGTCTCCAAGGCAGTATCACTATGAAAGTAGATTGCCCAACCTTCCTTAAGAGGAGTGGCTGGTGGGTTTGAACCACCAGCCTTCTGGTTAGCAGTCAAGTGTCTTAGGCACTATGCTAAATAATAGGATAATATTTTGTTTTAATTTTTGTTTGTTTGTTTATTTGTTTAGATGAAAGCTTACACAGTGAATTACGTTCCCATTTAAGAATTTTTATACAAGTTGTTCTGTGATTTTGGTTATAGTTTTCACATTGTGTCAGCATTCTCATTATTTCCATTCTGTTTTTTCTGTTTCCATTGATTTAGCTTCCCTTCCCCTCCTTGTCTTCTCATCTTTGCTTTTGGGTAAATGTTGACTGTTTGGTCTCATGTAGTTAATGTTTAAGGGACACATTACTCATGGGTGATAGTGTTTATTTTATAGTCCAATTATTGTTTGGCTGAAAGTTGACCTCCAGGAGTGGTTTCAGTTCTAAGTTAAAAGGATACCTTAATGAAATAGTCTCAAAGGTTCCTTCAGTCTCTGCCAGTCAGGTAAGTCTGGTCTGTTTTATGAATTTGAGTTTTTTTCTACTTTTTGCTCTCATTCTAACCACGACCTTCTGTGGTATCCCTGGTCAGAACAGTCAGTAGTGGTGGCTGGGCACCACCTAGTTCTCTGGCCTCAGGTTAGAAGAGCTTGTGGTTTGTGTGGGCTATTACTCCTGTAGACTAGTTTCTCCATTGAGGTTTTCATTCCCTTCATTCTCTTTTACTCCAGTTGAGTTCAGACCAATAGCTGTATCACAGATGCCACTCACACGCTTTTAAGATCCAGGTGCTACTCACCAAACTAGGGTTTAACATATCATTTTATGAACAATGTTATGCCAATTATTTAAGTTATCCCATAAGACTGGCCTTAAGCCCTTCAACCAAGTTAAAAAATTCCACCAATTGTTTGGATATGTTTAGGAAGTCTCTGTAATTGTGTCCCCTGTGTTTTATTTTATCTATGTATATATATGTGGCACACACAAACATGAATTTACATATGGCAACATTGTTGTTATTGTTGTTAGTTGCAATGAAATTAGTTCTGATTCATTGTGACCCTATGACAACAGAATAACACACTGACGGGTCCCATGTCATCCTCACAAATGTTGCTACTTTTGAGCCCATGATTGTGACCACTGGGCCAATCCGTCTCATTGAGGATCTTCCTCTTTTTGCTGACCCTCTACTTTACCAAGTATGATGTCCTTCTCCAGGGACTGCTCCCTCCTGACAACATGTCCTAAGCACATGAGATGAAGTCTTGCCATCTTTGCTTCTAAGGAGCATTCTGATTGTCCTTCTTCCAAGACAGATTTGTTTGTTCTTCTGGCAGTCCATGGTATATTTAATATTCTTTGCCAACACCAGAATTCAAATGCAGCAATTCTTCAGACTTCCTTATTCATTGTCCAGTTTTTGCATGCATATGAGGTGATTGAAAATACCATGGCTTGGGTCAGGTGCACCTTAAATCAAAATAACATCTTTGCTCTTTAACACCTTAAAAAGGTCTTTTGCAGTCAATACACTATGTCATTTGATTTCTTGACTGCTGCTTCCATGGACACTGAATGAGTTACCTTTTAAAATCATCTAAGATTGCCTTTGCAATCCCCTTATTGGACTTCTTCATGTGCATGTTCCTTGGGTTCCTCAAAGTGAACAACTCTCACACCAAACTCATCATTTTTTTTTCTCCAAACTTCTTCCTTCTCCCACCTCCTTTACTTCCAATCTCATCTGAAAGTTTAGCCATTCTGTCAATCATCTAGGCTATGTAAGTTAACCTTAAAGCTAAATTTGAGACAAACCCCTCTGAATGCATTACGGTATTCAATTCCTCAGTAGGTCCAAATTATAGCAATTAAAATTGTCCAGTAAGATCCAGCCATTAAATCTCTCCCATAATAAAGGTAAATTTGAAATTTCTGTAGCCTACTCTTACCCATCAGCCACTCCTCGGAAGGAAGATGGGGCAATCTACTTCTGTAGTGATACTGCCTGGGAAACCCAAGGAGGGATCAAGGAGGGGTCACTATGTGTCAGGTCTACTCGATGGCACTTAACAACAACAACAACAACTCTTACCCAATCTAAAACCATCAGGAATCCTTACAGCCTCTTTATTAGTCACCATACCTCGTTAGGACTTTAAGCCCCAATTCATTTACCCTTTTATTGATTTGCAAACAGACATAAAATCATCTCTGCTTTAACTATTGTGTTGCTGAAGAGCTCACAATCTCCTGGGAAAACCTCAAGTTATTAGGAAAATTTTCTTTGGTTACATGGAGTTTTCCTTCCTTTAACTTCTAATTATATTGTCTTGGTTTTTCTTCTGGAGCAATTTTCTCTACCCTCTTTTCTTTATGACTGTCTAAGACAAGCATGAAGTCTTCCCATGAACTCTTGTCTTCCAAATGAAGCATCAAAAATTCAACTTCTTCTCATAGGTGTATCTTCCAAGCCCATTGCCATCCTGATTACTTCCTAACAAGTCTAACCCCATGATTTCAGACACCAACAATGAGATTAGATGCTACACATCTTCCTGACCTACTATCTTTATCACACCAGACTGAATCACCTGACATGATTCTTCTTTCCCTCCCCACTACTACTTGAGAAGTCCATTCTGTGGTCTACAAGAGTCTATAATGTCTCCTGATAAGTGGTGATATTATATCTGGGATCAAAAGCTTCCTCCAGGCCATGAACTCAGCAAGAAGGACCAGAGTCAGAGAAACAGCCTTTACTGGGGTTTCTCCTTTGATTGATCAAATGTTGTTGTTGTTGTTAAGTGCCGTCGAGTCGTTTCCGACTCATAGCGACCCCATGCACAGCAGAACGAAACACTGCCCGATC